GGGACACTCATCTATGTCGACGACATTCTTATTCGTCGGCGTACGTTGGATGACCACCTGGCCGAGCTGGACCATGTCATGGGTCAGCTCGCTGCGGCGGGTGCTAAGATCTCTTTCGCCAAGGGACAGTGGTGCAGGTCACAAGTTCAGTACGTTGGCCTCCTTGTGGGACCACAGGGAGTGCAGCCTCAGCTTGGCAGGATTCAGGGTGTTGCCACCATCACACCTCCGACGAACGTCTCCGAACTTTGCAGCTTCTTGGGGGTCTGCAACTACTCGCGTCAGTTCGTGGAACATTACGCTGAGTTGGCACGACCTCTGACTAATCTGTTGAAGAAGGATGTGGCGTTCGAGTGGGCGGAGCAGCACCAGCAGGCCATGGATGACCTGAAGGCCGCAATGTGCTCGGCTCCGTGCTTGGCGCTCCCCGACTGTGACAAGGAGTTCCATCTTGAGGTTGGTTTCTCAGCTCACTGTTTGAGTGCTGGTCTCTACCAGATTCATGACGGCGACAGGCGTGTCGTGGCCTTTGCTAGTAAGCTCTTGACTGGACCTGAGTTGAAATACTCGGACTGTGAAAAGGCTTTGCTTTCCACCATGTGGGCAGTTAAGTACTTTGCGAACTACATTGGCGGACAGAAAATCATCATTGAGACACAGCACCAGCCAGTGACTTTCCTTAACAGTCAGCGCATCAGAGATGGTGTGGTGACCAATTCACGAATCGCTTCGTGGCTGCTGGCTCTTCAAAGCTTCGATATCGAGGTGCGCTACGCCCAGAACCGACGTAGCCCTCTTAGCATGGGTTTGGCTGCGTGCCAACATTGCTCGGACGACGCCATTGCATCAGTCCCGCCAGCCAGGCCCCCTCAGACTCTTCTAAACCATCACTTCTACGACCAGAACCTGCGAACTCACCTGCTTGCAGCATTCTCGTTCGCACAGGCATCTCTGGAAAAGTCAGCTGAAGGCAGAAAAACTTATTACGATAAGAGAGCCTCACATTCCGAACTCGATATAGGTGATCAGGCCTGGTACTACATTTTCGCTCCCAAAACGGGTAACAACAATGCGACCTCGGGGAAGCTGGCTAAGAAACTTTTGCCCAGATGGTCGGGTCCATACCTGATTACAGATAAGATCTCTCCGGTCGTGTATCAGATCAAGATCGCCGACAAAAACAAGGCGCCCGTCTACAAATGGGTACACAGGGACCATATCAAACTGCACAAGGGTCCCACAGATTTGGCCGATACCAACAACAACAATCCACTGACTTCAAAAGGGGGGTGATATATACGTCCCGTTGGTTCCACAGATTTCTATCTCTGATTACACAAATTTGTTTTTTTGTGAGTGTACATGGTTGTCTTTCCTGTTATACGTCACGTGCAGACTTAAGGTGTGTTGAGATGGACGTGCTGTGGGCTCCTGGAGTCAGGTAAAAGGCCAGGTAACAGTGAGTGGGTTAGGTCACATAGTACTGTTGTCCAAACTTTTGTTTTTTTTTTATCTTTACTAATCACAATTCCTTAGGGGTACATTAACATGAACATGATTACTAACCACTGATTTACATTTTAGTACTGATTTACATTTCTGTTTTTTATAGTACTTTTGACCAGTTGATTTTAACAGTGAAAAATTATGTTTGTGATTATCAATTCTTGGATTTATCCTACTGGGCTATAACCAATTTTGCCCTGTCCTGACACAAGTATTTACAGTGAGGATTCACTGATACCAGTTAGGGTTTCTTTCATTTTTCTGCTTCTCGCATCATTCCTTTTTGCATCTTACACAGTCAGGGCTGCATCCATTTCTTCACTTAATGGGTAATTTCACTTACAACTAACACATAGTACAAAAGGCACTCATAGAGTTAGGTTTTTATTATTTTTATTTCTTTGATGACATGAAATGCACTTTTGTCGTGTCTACATTGAAGTGCCTACACTGTGCTCTCTCTCCTCTGCAGAGCTTGTGAGGATCCTGCGTCCTGGGGGTGGATCCGTGACTCGTCATCTGCATCGACTACTCCTGAGGGTGCTCCGGCTCGTTGGCCTTGGACGACTGTGGTTCCGGCATGGCTGCTGGGACACCTCATTCGTTGGGATTACTGTCATCTGCTCTTCCCTTTTTGTGGATTACGATAAGTACTCTTTCAAAGTTCAATTTTTATTTGGAATATTACCCTGCCTGCGGATACAACAATCGATTTTTAATTGGAATACTACCCTGTTCGTGGATACGTTCAAGATTTGCTCCTGCTTTGCTTTATTGCCCGTGGGGATATGACTTTGCTGTTGCTTCGTTTATGGCTTCCATGGGGAATGATTAATAACCTGCTGACTTGTGTTCTTCCTGAGGAGTATGCAAGACTGTTCTCCGGCGTGGGGTTCGTGCCTCACCACAGACGGCTGTTCCCTTGGGATCGCATCCGGTTCGGTTGTCAAGATTCTTCATAACTTGGGTTTGTTCAACGACCAAGTGGTCTCTTGAAGGACCACATTGACCTTGAAAAGGGGGGATATATAAGGTTATGAAGTTCATTGTTTTCAACTCCATACAGCTGCCCCCTGTGCACAATAACACCGTGTAGAAAAACCAAGGTCGGGTGTTCCTCAGACTGTTTACATTCCAGGAGAAGAGTCCGAAGAAGAAGAAACTTTACTTAATCAAAGTACTTTATTTGTGATTAAAATTATTAAGCACAACATATGTTGATCAACAATAATCAAGTGAATGATCTGTGAAATAAATATGTCATGAATTATGTTTAATGAAAACAGGACTACGGCACAGACATACTGATCCTCATCTCCATAGAAACGCATGACACATTGTTCCAACCAATCAGAGCTTTCGGCTGCCGCAGGAGAATCTGGTGTTGACTTCAAGTGTCCAATCCACTTTACTCCAACTTATCAACAATTCAGAGATATAAAACAAGGCAACGCCATTTTTAAGTCAGTTCCATTTTGACTTCAGTTCTATTCACCGTCATCCTAAAGAAAAGCGCAGCCTGGCCAGATGTGTTTTCTTCTTTAAACTAAGAACTGTGAAACGGGATATTTTCGTCGTTTAACAACCAGACGACGTCCTTTCAAAATAAGAGCACCTGCTGACGCCGACGAACGGTACCGGGGTCGACCCTCCAGACGGGCTTTGAAACGTTGTGATCGCTGCACCGACAGCTCCAGCGTACATCAGAGGTCTCCAGACCTGGCATTTCCTGATCTACCTGGGAGACCCCCACTGGGTACGTACACGGCAAAATAGCGGCTCATGTCATCACTTTATAAGCCTCGTGATATCTAGTTATAACAAAGACGACCAGATACAGTGACGTCAGCCTAGAGAATCTGAACCAGACACACACACACACACACACACACGCACCAACACAACATCCGAATCCATTTTCATTCATCACAGAGTTAGTCCTGGTAGATTGTTTAGAATTTATAATTCAGAAATTAAAGATTCTCAAACGATCCCATCTCTCTCTCTTTTCTTGTCTCAAAGTCAATACAGAGTGATAATTAAACTCCCTGATGATAAAAACAGCCTATTCTTCTGTTTATAAAAAGTGAACTACCTACAGTGTATTAAAATACAACTTTAGATAGAGACATCACTTTGATTCCGTTACGTATAACTCAGAGATATCCTAGTACAGAGAAATTAAATCAGCTTTAGCGAGCCCCAAACACCAAACAGCTACACGTAGTGCAACACTGAAAACAGGAAAAAGGAAACGCCTTACCGCCAGGTGCAGCCAATCCATGGATGGATGAATAGAGGGATGGATGGATGGACAGATGGATGAATGAATAGATAGATAGATGGATGAATAGAAAGATGGATGGATGAATAGAAAGATGGATGGATGAATGAATAGATGGATGGATGGATGGAAGGATGGATGGATGGATGAATAGTTGGATGCATGCATAGATGCATGGATGGATGCATGGATAGTTGCATGGATGGATGGATGGATAAATAGAAGGATGGATGGATGAATAGAGGGATGGATGGATGAATAGAAAGATGGATGGATGGATGAATAAAAGGATGGATGGATGAAAAAAGGATGGATGGATGGATGGACGGATGGATGGATGAATAGAGGGATGGATGGATGAATAGAAGGATGGATGGGTGGATGGATGAATAGAGGGATGGATGGATGAATAAAATGATGGATGGACAGATGGATGAATAGATGGATGGATGGATGAATGGATGGGTGGATTGCTGAATAGAAAGATGGACGGATGGAAGAATAGATGGATGGATGAATAGAGGTATGGATGGATGAATAGAGGAATGAATGAATAGAAGGATGGATGGAAAGATGGAAGAATGAATAGATAGATGGATAGATGGTTGAATAGAAGGATGGATGAATGATTAGATGGATGGATGAATAGAAGGATGGATGGATGAACAGAAGGATGGATAGATGGATGGATGAATAAATGGATGATGAATAGAAGGATGGACGATGAATAGATGGATGCATGAATAGATGGATTGATGGATGAACAGAAGGATGGATGGATGGATAGAAGGATGGACAGATGGATGAATAGAAGGATGGATGGATGAACAGAAGGATGGATGGATGAATGAATATAGGGATGGATGGATGAATAGAAGGATGGATGGATGAATAGAAGGATGGATGGACAGATGGATGGCTGGATGGATGGATGAATAGAAGGATGGATGGATAAATAGATGGATGGGTGGGTAAATAGAAGGATGGATGGATAGGTGGATAGATGGATGAATAGAAGGATGGACGGATGGATAAACAGAAGAATGGATGGGTGAATAGAGGGATGGATGGATGAATAGAAGGATGGATGGACAGATGGATGAATAGAAGGATGGATGGATGAATAGATGGATGGATGGATGGATGGATGGATGGATGGATGGATGGATGGATGGAAACAGAATGTAAAGGTGTGATGGGAGATCCGTACCTTCACCACATCTGGAGCCAGGTAACCGTGAGTTTCCTTCAGTCTAGAAATGGAGGAGTGGCTCAGTCCCCCAACCACGGCCATCAGCGTGTTGAAGTTCTGCAGCTGCAGGAGTTTCTGATCCCAGAGAAGGAACATAAAACATTCAATTTTTATTCATTCAGACTCGAGGCCGACCAATAAGGGTCTCTTAGGGCCGATGTCGACACTGATTTTTAAAGAATTTTGTTGCTGATGGCCGATATCTAAAGCTGATTTTATATATATATATATATATATATATATATATATATATATATATATATATATATATATGTGTGTGTGTGTGTGTGTGTGTGTGTGTGTGTGTGTGTGTGTGTGTATCTGTGTGTGTTAAGATGGGAAGTTATTCCTCAGAGTACTCTGAACTACCTTGGGGGGTACCACAGGGCTCGATATTGGGACCTCTGTTGTTTTCTATTTACATTCTGCCCTTAGGTGACATCTGTCGTGAGCTTGGAGTTCAATTCCACCTTTATGCTGACAATTGTCAGCTGTACCTGCCTCTGAACACGTCAAGTGGTCTCTCTATTTCTATTCTTACAAACTGTTTGAGGGAGATCAAGACCTGGATGACTGAAAATTTTCTAAGCCTAAATGATCAGAAAACAGAGGCTATATTGTTTGCTCCAAGCATACATTGTGACTCTTCCCTAACTGACTGTGGGTCATTTAATGGCCAGCTGACTACATCGGTGACTAATCTTGGTGTTAAACTGGATAGCGCCCTTAGTTTTGATACCCATATCAATGGAGTGATCTCCTCCTCCTTTTTCCACCTTCGTCGGCTGGCGAAGATCAAACCATTTCTGTCACGTCATGATCTTGAGACGGTGGTCCATGCTTTTATTACGGTGCGATTGGACTACTGCAACTCTGTTCTATTCGGTGTGAGCAAGGGCTCAATAGCCAGGTTGCAAATGGTCCAGAATGCTGCTGCCAGATTTTTAGAGGGCAGGCGCAAGTTTGACCACATAACTCCTGTCCTGGCTGCGCTTCACTTGCTGCCCGTTGATGTTAGGATTCATTTTAAAATACTTTTACTAGTTTTTAAAACATTAAATGGTTTAGCCCCTCCTTACTTGGTGTCACTACTTCAACCATACACCCCTTCACGGTCACTCCGCTCGGAGAACTTCATGCTCCTCTCAGTCCCAAGAACGCGCCTAAAGACGCGTGGTGATAGGGCTTTTGCTGTGGCAGGTCCTAAGCTTTGGAATAAGCTTCCTCTGAGCATAAGGGCCTCCACCTCTGTTGCGGTTTTTAAGGCAAGGCTAAAAACATATTTTTATGACCTGTCTTTTAACCTTTCTAACTAGTTTTATTGTTTTACTTATAGCGATTTTACTCATTGTATTTTTATCTGTATCGTGTGATATAATGTTTTATTTTCTGGACTTAATGTTTTATGTTTTTATTTGATCAGTGTAGCGCCTTGGTGGCATCTCTTTGCCTGTAAGGCGCGATTTATAAATAAAGTTGAGTTGAGTTGAGAGTTGAGTTTTAGCAGCACATTGGTTGTGAAAGACAACTGAACACTCACTGTGTGCAATTTAAATTAAATAAGTCAATAAATCTCTCAATATTTATTGATCTAATGTTTTCCTACTAAACCATTTGATTACAGTCAGAATGAAAAATGAAGGTAAATAGTTTAAAGATGAAGCCATCAGAACAACTTTGCTTCTGGATCAGCTGTTCTTCAGGATTCCCATTTTCCTCTCAGTTCCTGAAAACCAACAAGTTTTTTAAACTCTGATGTGTAATAAAACTAAGGTCAATAAAATAATAAAAATAAATACATGAACACTTCAACATAACCTGGGATCAGCCCATTCAGCTACTTGTGATTATAGAAGATGAGCTGCAGACAGTCCGACTCTCACATGATTTAGTCTCTCAGTAGAGATGCTTCTAAAGCTTCTTCTCTGATAACGCTCCACCCCTGCCTGCAAGCAGCCGGCGGTCCACACCAAGCACCCACTTTTAAAACTTACTGAGGATTTATTTATGAAAGGATTCAGTTAATGTGCAATGAAAGATGGCTGAATGAGACTGCAAAAAACAATTTCTAAAAAATATCTATTTTCTTAGAAGAAAAATCTTATTTTAGTCTACAAAGGAAATAGGAAAATAGTGTCACTTAAGGTAAACATTCTTAAATATGATCCACATTTTCTTGTTCTGAGTAAAAAAATCTGCCATTTAGGTGAGCAAATGTCGCTTGGCTAACAAATAACTTGCAAATAAATCAAAGTTTAGATTATCTTGCTAGTTTTAAGATTTCCAGCCAAGCAGTTTTTGCTCACCTGCTGGTGTGTTTGCACCAGCGTGTGATGAGTTTGTTCACTGAGGTGAAAGAAGCAGTAGCCCGTCTGAGTGTGTCCATGTTTTAGACATGTCACACAAAAGAAGCAGGGACATTCGTAGCAGTTGTGTCATTTTAGGGTCTTTAACCCAAACCTTTGGAGAATATTATCAGTTGTTAGATATTTTCACATGCAAGCGGGCTGGACCCCTCAACCAGGCCTGGAGACGTTTTTCTCCTCTCCGTGAACACATTTAACCAAAGCTCCTCGTGCGACCATCTCACCTGAGCCACATGGATGTATTTGGTGATGACTTCAGCTCGGGTCTGAGGCGTGAGTTTGCTGAGCACCATCAGCTGGACCCACTGAGAAACACCGTTGAACAGGGCGATGGAGCGCTCCAGAGTAGGGTTGTCCACCAGGCAGCCATGGACCACGTAGCTTTGGTAATCGTTGAACTGGGAACAAAAACAACATCGTTCCAGCCATCCAAGAACAAGTTCACTTAGAGGTCTTCAGGGTCGCACCACTCATTGTGATTCTCAGGCAGAAACAGAAACAAGCAGCTTGGTGGAAAAGACATTTGCTGTGATGAGTTACCGGCTGCCCTGAAGGTTTTCACCAGTCTTTGTTGCTTAGATCAATCCCAGCATCAGACAAAAGTAATCTGAGTAAATAAAAATCATGGTTTTGACATGATGATGTTATTTAGAGAGATGAACACAAGTTATCCCATCTGGGCTTTTCCAGGCTGGGCCGTGCAGCTGTTCAGACTTCCTCGAACGTGTGGGGACGTGACTTTCTGTGTAAATACAATAAATGTTATTTTGGGTTTGGATTAGTTTCACTGATGTGCTGAATATAGATGTAAACGTTTGTTGTTTATTCTGGGAGAAACAAAGCAGTTCATCGAGAGGAAAACTGGCGTCTCACCAACGTTCCGAACAGACTCCCAGAAAAGCCTTATCGGCGTTGGTCATGTTGACTCAGTCAGATTCCAGGTCTTAGGAAAACCACAGTGGAATTGTCTTTATCACATATTTGCACGCCTTATTTATCAGAACAGCTGCTGACCGAGTTTATGCTGCTCCTCCTAGCTTCGTGTTACACCCACCTCGCTCACAAATTTGAGAAAAACAAAACAGATTTTTCAGTTTGTCTGCATTGAAACCCTCCCTCTGTCAGCCACCGGTTATGAGAAGACCACTGATAAAAACAGCCTGAGATCGTATCAGATGATGGTTAAATCACTGCAGAAGCTTCAGTAATGAAAGCGCAGCACCTTTAGAACGATTCACACATCAGGTTTTTTGTAGTAAAACAGCAAGAACTAACGGCACAGGCAGACATACCGAAATCCTACGGATGGATTTGAACTCCAGGAAGGTGAGATGCTCAGCCAGCTCCATGGGCTCTAGGTGGTCAAACAGCAGCGACGCTTTGCCTTTTTTAGCTTGTTTCTTCCTCTGGGTCAGCTTCCTCATCCAGTCATACGATGGACTGCACAGACAAACAGTCGGTGTTTTATGTTCAGGCCCAGAGGATTCAAACGGCTGAATTTATGGGAAAAATCTCCTGATTGTGAGGAGATGGGAAACATTTCTTTACTGATGAAATGGAATAAATCAGATTAATGTCATTGTGTAATAATAATCTAATTAAGACATCTCAGCTAAGTGCTACCTGTGATGTTTAGGCTTTCATATCAGACCCGTCCCTATCGGGGTCTCTGAGGAGGATCACAGTGTAGGGAGACAGTTAACCTACACTGATCAAAGGGTTTGTCAAGTTTTATGGAACACAGAGCAGCTTTCACGCTTTCCTCTAAACCCATGAACACCGTTTTCAAACAACATTTATTACCATTGCCAGGTTCTGGTTCTGGTTCCAGCACTCCACTACTGGACTCAGTGGTCTTCTTCAAAAAGCAGCTGAAACTCACCTGTTCTGGTTTGGTGGGACCTTCATCACCTCCCTCTCCTTGTTCGGCTCTTATTCTGCCTTTCCCGGGATCCACTGATTTCCCTCTTTCCTGCTCATTTTCTCTCCCTTTCCTTACATTTTTAATCACTTTTTTAAAATCTTGAATATATATAAATATTTTAATTTTTTGTGAAGCGCCTTGTGATTTTTATCTTGACAGGACCTCCAACGTGTTTGGTGGCTTACATGGTGGAGATGTCGATGAGTTTAAAATGCTCCTCACAGCCGAGCTGAGCCGCCACCTCTCGGAACTCCTCTGTGATCCTGATCAGACCCAAATCCAGGTTGAACTCTGCAGGGAACGTCATGATCCAGAACCTGGATGAACACATTCAGATTTACCAGAACTATTCTACAGGAAGGGATGGATCCAAAAAAGAACACACTGGTGTGATGCAGGAGGTCAGCAGCTGCTATGAGATATATTTTCAGCTAGGAATATCGGGAATTCCCTTGTCTCCTTCTCAAAGGACGGTGTTGTCCTTGGAACACAGCATCAGGGACACAAAGACATTTTCTACAACCTGAGAACAGAAACTAGCTGTTCCTCTGATTTAGCAGGCGTGAAAATCAGCTTAAAGCTTCTTTAAATCCTGCATTTAAACTCTCAGTGAATAAAGAGGTTCAGGACGTTACTTTAGGTCACATTTCAGTCCATTTTCTGTGGGTCTGACTTCTAGATGTGTGTTTGTGAGGAGTGAGTGGATGCTACTGTACCTCATTAGATAGCAGATCTTTAGCCTGGTCCTCTCAGCTCCTTTACAGTCACGATATGTGGAGTTAAGTTAAGGACTTTGTTCAGAGCCAACAAGCTCAAACGCTGTCAGCTGAAATCATTCAGATGTTTCAGGAGGTTTTCTGCTGTTCCCAAGTTTCAATGCAAAGATTATGAAGAATTCCTTTTTTATGCAGGATACCTTCCTGAAAAGCCTCTGTTCAGAGAAATAGCTTTTATTGCCAGCATGACTGATGAGCTAACGGCTAGTACAAGCAGAGCCAGAACCAGTGCACAGCTGTCATCCTAAATCAGCTCCAACTTCCAAACATTCGTGTCTTTTCATGCAACCTTGTTTCATGAAGTTTTACGTGGTTCATTCAGGGTCAAGATTACGATCCCCTGAAGGGGAGAACGGGGTCAGCAATTAGCATAATTATCCTGATTTGTGAACGAAGCTTGGGTAGCTGTTTTAAGATGACAGCAACACACTTCAGACTTCCCGCAGACTTGCCTGTTTGGGCCCCCATGTGAGATCTTGGTTCAATTCATATCAGTCATAGTGGCATCTAAAATCACAGAAATTTTTTTGAATTTAGTCCAATAGGTGGCGCTGTTGTATCCCAAAAATGTTTTGGGCAGTTTCTCCCCATTTATTCAGTAAAAAATCTAATGATCTCATCCTGTATGTTCATTGAGTCAGCCAAATTTAGATGAGTATTTTAAAAATTGTTTTAAAATTATGCAAATTAGTAAAACTTTCTGTATAGAATAAGTAAAATGAGTAAAAGGGCGAACATTTACAAGCCACGCCCACTTTTAAATCTTTTTCGAAATACAGCTTAAGGGTCCGATGATAAACATATCTACCAAGTTCTGTGGAAATCCATTGAGTCGTTTTGTTGAAACAAACTTTTTGACTCTTTAATTCAGTTAAATTTAGCACCCCCTATTGGTGAATCCAAACAAAATTTGGTAGATAGGGCTTACCGCTCACACTTTGTAAGGGTGTGGAGTCTCATCATTTCATCGTGAAAAATGGTAGAGATATCATCAATTAGGACATGTGCTAGCTAGCGCACTGAATTTGACATGGTGTCATTAGCCCAGTTTTCAATAAGTCCACATTTTTCTTCATCACAACGACTTATCTTAGTCTATAGATCATATGTACAAAGTTTGAAGTTGATTGGACGAATAATGACGTATTGGTGACTAAAACTATGTTTAGCGTGTTTTGCGATCTAGCAAAAAATCTAGTTAGGTGGAAATGGGCGTGGCCAATACAAAAAACATGCAGAATCATCCAAGGATCATGCACATATAAAGATTTTGACTGTAGGACCTACGATTTGGGAGCTAGTAGCTGAAACGCATTCACCTTCGCAATAGCGCCACCTAGGTGACTCCGGGTACAAATTTTGGAATCTGAGTAGTGGTCAGGATTTTCTATCAGACTGCCAGGTCAGATTTTTTCTGGCATTTTCTGGCTCCTGCGCCCTTATGGAATTAGTGGAGAATAATAATAATAAATAATAAATAATGAAAAATCCGTAGAAAACAATAATAATGATGATTAGATGATTAGATGGCGCTTTTCAAGGTACTTGCTATTTGCATCCAACATGGGGAAGTTAGCCTGGATGGAGCTGGGATTGAACCTACAACCTTGTGATTACTGAACAACCCTCTGCCTCCTGAGCTTCTGCTGCCTCATCATAATAATCACTAAATATTATAACTCTAGTACCTTATGTAGAGAACTCATGTTAGGTATGTTACATCGAAAAAAACTACATTTTTTAAATCCAATTATAAGATTTTGGACTAGAGTTCAAACTGAATTGAAGTGAACACCCAAGAAACACGCTTGTTTGGGCCCACTGTGGTCTTTAGTGGGCTGTGTCTGGGGTAGTATAAGCAGGGCAAACTACACTTACCCCAACAATTTTGTGTATGAATGGAGCCACCCAAAAACCTCCCACAGTGGCCCTGTGGGTGTGAGCCCAAATGAAGAATCCAGCACTCTGCCCAGTTTACCCCAACAAATAACTCAAACTTTGGGTAGTTTTTGGGTTAGGGTTAGAGAGACTCTGAGAATTTCTGAGAAGACTGTTGGATTCCTCATATGGGCTGACACCAAAGGGGCCACTGTTGTTAATTTTTGGGCAAATCCCACTCTGGGGTACCCACAGAAATCACACAGAGGGATTGAACTGGGTGGATCCCTGGGTTACCCCACTAGCCCTGACACTCACTGGGCCACTGTGGGTAGCCCACAGAAACAATCAAAGGTAATGCACCAGTGCAAATATCCATTAGGCAGGTCCAGGGCACCCCACAAGGGCTCAGCATGGGATGGATTTGGGCAGATTCATCTGTGGGTTGCCCTTAACTATATATAGAAGGGCCCCATGTGGGAAAGCATATGTGGGCCCAATTAATGCAACCATACCCAAAATCCTTGTTGGTGAACTGTGGGGTAAGTGTGGGTTTGCCCTGCCCACTCTAGCCCATGGTGGGCCCAAACGAGCATGTTTGCTAGGTAGCAGTTAGCTCATTAATCCAGAGAACCAGAATGTGTCTTTAAATAACATTTTCCATTGCTAATAAATAAAATATTCAATTCTCTTCTCAGGGCAGCTGTGGCTTCAGTGTAGTTCATTACCACTAACGTGAATCGGTGAATGAGTTTATTTTTTGTAGTGTAACTTGGGGGGTTGTAGAACCCTAAGGTGAAGTATTAAACACAGGCCATTTATAACTTGTAGGCATCAGGGGTTGCAGACACATTTCTGGATTATTGGTGATTTTTTTTTCTAAAAGATCAAAGTAATTGGGAACAAAGAAAAGTGAATCTGATGTCAGTGAAGCGTTCTGGAGCATGCTCATGCACGTTAAGGATGAGTGTTTGTAGAGTGAGCTCACAGTAAATAGACACAGAGCAGCTCATTGATCCAACACAATCCGTTCTGCTCATCTGATGAAGACACGAGCAGAACTGCTTCTGCCGAGGGACTCACACAAACCACGGAGCGGATCAGTGGATTCCATCATCAGCAGAAGCTGATCTGACTCCCATTAAGAGACAAATGGATGAGACTTCCTGTTAGGAGGAACCGTTTAAAGGTCCCACAGCAGCTCTGCGCTTCTGCCAGGTGGGATATATCATCAGGAGTTTTCCAGCCAGCTCAGAGGATGTGACGTACCAGCAGTGCATCAGCAGGAAGGTTCGAGGAAGCATGTTAGCATGTAGCTCCCCGCTGTCGTCTGTGAAAAGGAGCATGCATCAAAATCTCAGCTAACAAAGTCAAGTTTGTTTCCACTGGGTGATGTGCCGCCTCGTCACAGTCATCGGTAAAGAGGTTCAGACGCCAGAAGACCATTCCTCACCAAGTTCAGTAAACATCTTAGCCCATCAGCTGTTTGAATGCACAAAACCTGTTTACGGTTTTAAATGTTCTAAAATCATTTCATAAAAGCAGATTTTATAGAAGAGCTTTCTGTCACTCACCAAACGCATGAATGCACTCCTGCAGGAGAGCATCGAGAGAAGCGGCTTTTCCCAGCGTGGATGATCCCATAACACCAAAGACGGAGCTCAGCAGGCCTGGCGGGCTTTCCTGGCAGCAGCAGGTCCTAGAAGCTGAGGGAACAAGGAGGTCTGGCCTCAGTGTTCATGTGAAAGTAGAGACAATTCTTATTTTCTGTTCATTCATTCATTCATTCATTCACTCATTTTCTGAACCGCTGGCACCAGCCGTCAGCAGGACTGTGTTCTGATGACATTTTGTTTTCTATGACCAGTGATTTCATCTTCTGCTCCAAGAGTTTTTAACATTTTCAGACACAGACGGTTCAGGAGAAATGAGCGACACACCAGGCGTGACCTTTCCACACGTAATAAATGACTGTTTAAACACATTTTAATGAAAACAGATTATTTTTGTTTTAAAGGGCGAAGAATAGAAGAAATGTTTTGTTAGCAACAGTCTCCATGCAGAACAGGAGGAACGTTCCAGCAGAGTCTGATGCTTTTCTCTGGTTTAAAATGTTTGTGTTGTAAACAACAAGTATTCTCATCGTTCACGCAGCTGAATGGGGATTAGCAATGCATTGTGGGAAAAGGGGCCTCAGGGATATTTGGAATGGGTTAATGGCTCAGTGTGTCATCAGCTGCGATCATCAGTGATGATGATGTCACTGGACAGCATTTCATTCACTAGTGTGTGTGTGTGTGTGTGTGTGTGTGTGTGTGTGTGTGTGTGTGTGTGTGTGTGTGTGTGTGTGTGTGTGTGTGTGTGTGTACACCCAATCTCACCAAAATCTGAGACCATGGTCTTGATTCGGAAAAGGGTAGAACGCCTTCTCCGGGTCAGGGATGAGGTCCTGCCCCAAGTGGAGGAGTTTAAGTATCTCGGGGTCTTGTTCACAAGTGAGGGAAAGCTGGAGCATGAGATCGATAGGCGGATTGGTGCTGCGTCGGCAGTGATGCGGGCGTTGTACTGATTTACTGGTAGATCTATGTTCCTACCCTCACCTATGGTCACGAGCTTTGGGTAGTGACCAAAAGAGCGAGATCGCGGATACAAGCGGCCAAAATGAGTTTTCTCCACAGAGTGGCTGGGCTCTCCCTTACAGATAGGGTGAGAAGCTCGGTCATCCAGGAGGAGCTCGGAGTAGACCCGCTGCTCCTCCACATCGAGAGAAGCCAGTTGAGGTGGCTCGGGCATCTGGTCAGGATGCCTCCTGGACGCCTCCACGGAGAGGTTTTCCAGGCACGTCCAACCGGGAGGAGACCTAAAGGTAGACCTTGGGAATCCCCTGGAAGTCCCAGAAAGCGTTGGAGGGACTATGTCTCTCAGATGGCCAGGGAATGCCTTGGGAGTCCCCCGGAGAAACTGGCTCAAGTGGCTGGTGAGAGGAAAGTCTGGACCTCCCTGCTTAGGCTGCTGCCCCCCGTGACCCGACTCTGGTCAGATGGATGGATCCACTTTGTGTTGTGATTCAGTTCTCCAGGCGAGTCTGACTCAAGAAAAACACTTTACCGTATCTTCTTTCAAGTTCTTGTTTCTAACTGGATTGATCTAGTTTCTCCAGACATGATGAAAGCCTGAGCAGACGTTTAGTTTAGAAAGCCTTCGGTGTTTCAGTGAGAATGTCTCTGCAGCAGCCAGTTTAGGAGTCTGGAGCAGTTTATAACAAGCGACTGAAACATCAGAGGCACTGGTGTTCAAAGCTGCTTGCTGCTGTCAGTGTGGCAGAAGCACAAAGAGGCCCTTTAAAACTTGAGTGGATCTATTTCATGTTCTCTGGGTGAGCGTCACACCGCTGAATGACATTTCCAACATTCACACATTACATGTCGGCTCTGGGGGCTGCCTCTCATTTCCCTGTTCAGACACACATTTCAGGCAGCAGAAGCAGCTCAGCACAGCACAGCGCTACCGCTACATCTGCACTTCTAGCTCACGCTTGGGTCACCGTGCACTTATGCAAGTCCAGTGACACCCTTTCTCCTTAGATGTGCTCACACATGTAAAACACAAGGGATAACTGACTGACTCCTTATCCAAAAGGCTAAACCAGCACCAACAGTCAAACACTAACTGCTACAGTCCTGTTCTGTTAGTTTTTCTAAAACAACGTTGTTAAACTTTGTTTAGCAGCCAGGAAAATGACAGGAACGTTAGATTCTGCACCAAAACCATCAGGAGTCAGACCTTACCCTTTAAAAAGCCTCGTAGAAGCAGCAAACATCCAGGCTGACGACCAGCTCTGATTCTGATATAACTAACTGCTGCCTGACGCTGCAGGCGGAGGCTCCCATGGTGGAGCTACTCCACTGTATGACCTCCTCCACCGCCTCCTCCTGTTGGTAAACACAGCAGCCTGGAGGAGCAGCAGTCTGCCATGTGACTACCCCCCCCCCCCCCACACACACACACACACACACACACAGCAAGGGCACTTGCTTTACACTGCAGGTTCTTCGTTCCACGCAGTGAATGAATCGATGCAGAATCTACAAAAGAAACGATTTAGTTTTCCACAGAAGCTCTTGGGAACAGCAGAACGCCTCCTGAAACATCTGAATGATTTTAGCTGACAGCGTTTGAGCTTGTTGGCGCTGAACAATCTAGAAGAAGTCAGACCCACTGAAAGTGGACTGAAATGTGACCTAAAGTAACGTCCTGAACCTCTTTATTCACTGAGAGTTTAAATGCAGGATTTAAAGAAGCTTTAAGCTGATTTTCACGCCTGCTAAATCAGAGGAACAGCTAGTTTCTGTTCTCAGGTTGTAGAAAATGTCTTTGTGTCCCTGATGCTGTGTTCCAAGGACAACACCGTCCTTTGAGAAGGAGACAAGGGAATTGAAAGAAGGAAAGAAAACAATCTTTTATATAGCGCCTCTCAATATAAAAACCACGAGGCGCTTCACAAACAAAAAATAATAATTCCCACTATTTCTAGCTGAAAATCCATCTCGTAGGCAGCTGCTGACCTCCTGCATCACGCCGCTACTGTGTTCCGTTTGGATCCATCACTTCCTGTAGGACAGTTCTGTTAAATCTGAATGTGTGCATCTGGGTTCTGGATTGTGATTTGGGCCTGATCAGGATCACAGAGGACCCAGCTGATGTAAAACCACAGAGATAGTTGACCGAGCATCACCATATCGGTTTAGTTCCTGAAAAATTCCTTGATCAGGATTGTGGTTGGATCAGAACATCCCTGTTCCTGTGGACTTCCTCTGGTAGTGACTCAACTGTAAGACAGGATTGACAGCAACCATGGAACTCCTGCCCTAAGTGACCACGAGCAGCCGATGCCTGATGATCTACGACTACACCCTACAGGCATTCGCCGTGTTCCGGTTTGTGTTGGTGGATCTGACCCTGCTGGGCCTCCATCCACCTGCTGGAACAGCTGGTTCCAGGTACATTTTAAATGAGATCTTTCACCAACTGGAAGGTCGATCACTTCTCACAGGAATAAAAACCCATCTTAAGATAACGACATTTCCAAAATATCTAAAACTGAAGTCTTAAGTTACATAATTATGACCTTAGTAAAAATCCTATTTGATTTTATTCATTAACATTAAATTATAACCTGCATCACCTCAAAATGAAATAAAACATTTTCTTTCTTTGTGTTGGCAGTGCAGCAGTTAAAGGGTTAATATGTTTGGGAGATTCCCCAAACATGTGAGCAAAGGATTTCTAATGAGATGAAACAGTCTTATTCCTGTAACTTTCCTCAAGAGAACATCCGTTATTCCAAAGATTTATCTGCAGCTGAAGCTTGCACTTGTAGGAAAACCACTGTGTGACACAACGTCGTCCCCCAGAGCAACGCTCGCTGGTGCCGCTAGCAGCCTTCTAGCATTCTAATGTGTCAAAGGAAGGTGGTCGGAAGGAGGAAAACCCGTTCAGTTTTCCAGACATGAGACTGAAGTATTTTGGGTTGTTGGCTCTAAAACCAAGATCTCACTGAGCTGTGACTGTTAGCAGCAAAATGAACAACTATTGAGCGGACACATTCACTGAGCCACGAGTTTCCAAAAACGTTTTTCCAAGGATTCCCAACATCTTGGTGGGACTCAGGAATTTTTCTATATTTGGAAAAATGTAAACAACATAATCCCAACAGATGCCTGAAAATGTTTTCGTTAAATAAAAGCAGATGTTACGATCTCTTTGTGACTGAATCACATTTAGATTTCCATTGGAAGTTTCACCATTTTTCATTCATCTGCTGTGAAGGAGTTGGATCCAAACTGGAGGTGTCTTCTGTCCATCCCAGGACGTGTGTGTGTGTGTGTGTGTGTGTGTGTGTGTGTGTGTGTGTGTGTGTGTGTGTGTGTGTGTGTGTGTGTGTGTGTGTGTGTGTGTGTGTGTGTGTGTGTGTGTGTGTGTGTGTATGCATGCATGTGTGTGTGTGTGTGTGTGTGTGTGTGTTTGCCTGTTTTTTCTATTCAATCCCTGAAAACAGGAATTTTTCCTAGAGGAGTGAAAATGGCAAAGGTCATTCCAATATTTAAATCTGTAGATAAGCATGTTTTCTAATTATAGGCCAATTTATTTACTTACTCAGTTTTCTAAAATATTAGAAATACTTTTTTTATGTCAGATTGGACAATTTCATCACTAAACACAATGTTCTGCATAATCAACAATACAGTTTTAGAAAGAATAAAAACACTTCATTTGCACTAATGAAATTTGTGGAAGAGTTAACTTCTGCAATTGAAAATAAACAGTGCATCGTTGGAATTTTTCCTGATGCAAACAAAGCTTTTGATACAGTTGATCATGACTTATTGATAAGTAAACTTCAAATGTACAGGGTGAGAGGAGTGGCCCTCAGCTGGCTTTCAAGTTATTTGAGTGATAGAGAACAGTTTGTTGAAATAAATCAGGTAAAATCTAAATCAATGAAAGTAAGGTCTGGAGTTCCTCAGGGTTCAGTTTTATGGCCGTTCCTATTTATTTTGTACATAAACAATATTTGTGAGGTGTCTTGTTTGTTAAAAACCATTCTGTTTGCTGATGATACAAATTTAATTTGTAGTGGTGACAACTTGGAGGAGCTTTTGGATACAATTGGTAATGAACTTAAACTGAAGGATTGGTTCGACCTTAATAAATTAACACTGAATTTAA